ATAAGGCACTGTCATGACAATTTACTAATAGCATAGTGGATCATGACCAACTAGTCAAATGGATTTCTATAAGCACAAATATTTATTAGGTATCTAATATTCATTTGATATTTCTGCCTTACATGAAAAAGCAATAACAATTATTACTTGTTTTTCTCTTCTTAGGTTCCAAGCGATATTCACAATATTTATAATTTTTTTTTATTAATTTCGTATTTCTTGGATGATCCACATACTAATCTCTAATTGCAGAATATTTATGCACAACATAATACTTTCACAGGTATTTTTCAATTTACACGATGATTGTATTTGAAGCATAGTTATGGTTCATTATTTGTATGATATTATTAGGAACTAAAGACCAGCTACATCAACATCTGTTTGCGTAGTTACTTTTATTTTATGTTAATATAAATAATCTAAAAACGCGGAGAAATTTTTTTTGCTTGAAAAATTAAAGCATATCAATACAAAGGTCGTGTAACTCTGAGAAAATCTTTGCTTCATTTATACGTTTCACTATCGACAAAAAAATGTTAATTTCTTGTTTTTGGAAAGCATGTAAATATTTTGTTTTTTATTCTAATAATTCACCGATGTTGGCAATTCTACTGTTGAGGGTTAATGTGCTTACATCATTACGTCAGTGCACCTTGATAGTTACAGTTTTACAAAAGAAAGAAAATAGTTCTTAATTGTATACACAAGATTTTATTATTTTCTTTTCAGTTATTGTTTCACTTGTGATTCGGTAACTAGTTTCATTCGTAAGCATTGTTTCTTCTTAGTTAAAAGTTAATTGGACTGCTATCTGTGTCAACTTGTATCATTGTATGCATAAGCCCTTTGATATAATGAAACAGTGTAAATAATTACTTGAAATAGACCAAACGCAAACAAAAAATTATTGAAATTGTTTGGGCACTTGCGTGACATAGTTAAAGTGCTATATATAAGAGTTGTTAATATAATTTATTTTAATAGGAAACACATGCTTTCTTTTTTAAAATACAAAATGATCTTGTGATTCATTACAGTTATTTGAAATCTTCTCATTCAATTTTCATTTATAATCGAAATTAAATTAAGTTAAAATTAATCATTAAAAAGAAATGTTGTACCGTTCTGGAATAATAAAATGGGAACAGTATTATAATCAGAGACTGTGGACAAGTTGGAAATAACATTGAACTATGTCTGTGTCGAATAGTTTGTAAACAAGGAAACTGTTCTAAAGGAAATATTCAACAACAAAACATTCTATTTGTACAAAACAAAATTATATGTCAATTTCATTATTTACCAGATACTGTTTTATGTAGCATACATGTGATTAAACATAATGTGTCGTTAATGAGAAAAATGAAGAACGTTTTTACATAAAAACATTGATTTGAGATGAAAGGTTTCTTTTAAAAACACAACGTGCTTGCAAGTGCATGTTAAGTACCTGATCAGGGAACACTCTAATTAGTTTGTCGCTAATACAGAGTGGCTCAACAAAACTAAATCGTTTAAACAATTCCGTTAATTTCGATGACCTGAGAAGGTATTTCTCGTATAATTAAAATATTTTAGGAGACAACATGGTGTACAAAGTTGTTTATTAGTTAGTTTTTTCTTAGGAAGCTTTGGATCATTATATCGAAAATTGAAATATCATTGTTAACCGATTATATTTTATTGTATTAAGTTGTTAAAAAAACTCGTTGCATAATACTGACATACTGGCAAACATGTACTTTCTATGAAAATGAAAATAATTTAAAAATGGTAAAATTGTTTTTAATGAACTCCATATTTGCATTTTATGATAGTTCAAATCGTGCGTAAATTATTTTTTTTTTATATTTTCAATGCTAAAATTTATTTCGGTCTTCTGTTTTGGATGGACCATCTTCTACATATATATCTACTGCGGGTTTAATTCTATCGTAAGGCTGGTTTCATAAATAGTTTACTTTTGCTATTTCATTAATTCATATTATTTATATTTAACTAATGTGATATTTTAAAGGCATACACACGCACACATGTGGGCACATACACGCGCACATTCATATTATATATGTATGTTCACCTAACTTTCCTAGCATATACACGTACATTTAATTATTCGCAAGAATACAATGCATATGATATCAAACGGTGCTTTTTACATCTATGGCATGATTGCTTACTAATTACATCTTACGATTTGTAGAGAATCTTATGACTGTATTACTTTATACTTAAAATGTTAATAATCTTATTTGTATGAAAATGAATATTGTGAGAATGATAATGATGGCAATTTTAAGTTACAGAAATAAATTATTCATATGAGAGATAAACGTGACAAGTCTTTTATGCATACTTAAAAGATTAAAAAGTATTATTTCTATTATAATTTGTTTGAAAATAAGTGATAAGAAACATAAAAAAATTTTATTCTTAGATTTGAAATGAAAGCTTTAAATTAATTTAACACAGACAATTAAACTATTTCAGAAAAATGAATATAATTCATCATAACATTAAAAAAAACCTTAAGATAACAATTATACATATAAAACAGGATGATATAAAACCATGAATCAGAATAATATTGTTTTCCTTACACATGCATTATGTATGTATATAACGTGTGTATTTATTATTGTGTAAAATAAAGCCATAAATTAACGGGATAAAAGTTGAATATAATGAAGTAATATGTTGTATATTATACTTTAATGATAAAATTACAAAATATCATTACAATAAGAAATATATCCAGGATTATGCTGCTTCCTTTTTAATAACACACTAAGAGGATGTAACTAAATCCAGTTATAAAGCGGGAAATCGGGAATTCGGGAATTCGACTCTATGTATATCTTCATTAATATGTATATAACTTTCTAATCAAACATAAATGTGAACGAAGTTATTAATATATAAATTTTAATTTG